CCCGCAAGGACCTCGGCCGCTCTGAAGACGCGCCAGAGCCGCAGCAAAATGCGGCGGTCTTGCACGACGACCCCCACATCGTCCGCGCAGACCCCGAGCGCCGAGGAGGCAAAAGAGCTGATGATGGTCTCCACGTGCAGCACGAACGAGCCCATGGCGACGGCCCACAACGATGCGCTGAGCGGGCACACCTGGGCGGTGCCAGCGGCGACGCGCACGAAGTGCGCGAGGACACTCTCGACGGCGACGAGGGCTGCAGGCAGCCAGCACATGCCCATGATGAGCTGGAAGAAAGATCCCCCCCATCGAAGCCCGCGCGCAGGAGGGTGGCCTGAAGAAACGAAACCGCGAGCAACGGGAAGGCGTTCCCGAAGTCGAAAATGACGATGGGTAGCTGCGTGGTGCGCGTATGCTCGGAGCGGCCGACGACGCGGGCAAAGCTGCCCAGCGCCGCGGTGTTGCCCGGGGAGTCGCGGCCAGGGAGAAATCCTCGCTGCGCCGCCGACGAGGAGCGCTCGATCGGGAACTTGATCTGGTTGTTGCAACTGGCGGCGAGCAGCTCCACGTCGCTGTTCTTGAGCGCCAGCGGCCGAGTAGTCGCAGGAGCACGGGTGGGGCCCAGGGCGAGGTCCGCCTCCTCCGTGCCCTTCGGCAGGAAGGCCATGAGGCGGTCGTCGAGGTCCATCGGCGGCGGGGAGCCCTGGGCGATCTCAGCCCCCACGGCAGCCAGGTCCTCCAACGGTCTCGAGCAGCCGCGTCTGCTCCAGGCGTCGCACGGCAGGCCATCTGGTCCAGGCGCAGATGGTCGCGCACGCTCGGCAGCTCGATGAAGGTCATGGACATCAGGAAGACGAGCTATTTGGAGCCCAATGGGAACTGGATGCTCACTGAGGTAACGCTCGAGAAGCGAAGGCTGCTCATGGTGCAGACACTGGAAAACGGGGGCCCGATGGGAGCGGAGCTCGCGCAGAATGCATGGCTGGGCGCTGGCCGCCCGATCCTTCCCATCAGCACCTGGGAGACGAAGCCCTTGAAGCACGAGAGCGCGTGACAACGGATACCACAGAGCTGCGAGGCGACGCAAGGGGCGACGCATCGCGTCGATGCACCGAAATGAATTCCCGGCAGGAGGTAGCGCACGGGCGCGCTGGTCAAGCTGAGCACCACGACGATCATTGCACGCACGCTGCGCGGCAGCGAAGTCGGTCTCGAACGCAGCCGCATCCCGCAGGGAGACGATGTCCTGGTGCCCCGCAGTGTGGTACTCGATGAGCAGATGGGAGGCGGCGCGCTGGGAGGCGGCGGCGAGCCTCTCCGCCAGCAGGACATCATCACGCCAAACGGCCCTCGCGATGGAACCGAAAAGAAGCAGCTTGGCGTCGCACTCGTGAGAATGCGCCTTGAAGAGACGGTCGCGAACACGCCTGGCCGCCCCCTTCATGAGACGCTTGCGTTCGCTCCTGCGCTGGTAGGTGGTGAGTGAGTCCCAGTTGACGTGCTTGGACGGCAGCGCGTGCTGCACGGGGTACTCGGGACCTCTGAAGATGCCCCGGGAAATGGGTTTAGCATCGCCACGGAAGGGGTCGGGCGGCCATCGCGATGACGAGCGGGGCATGATCGCTGAGGCCTTGCTCGCTGAGGCGCCCAGGGAAGTCGCGAGTAGTAGCCGCGATGTGCCATTGGATGGTGACCCAGCTGGGCGTCGCGAGGAACGCTCTGTCGATCTGGGTGAGCTTGGGCGGGGAGTCCTCCTGGGCGCTGAAATGAATGGGGAGCTCGTTGTCAAGCTCGACCAGCTCGTGGAAGAGGGCCTGCCAGCGATGTTCCAGAGGGCGCGGGGCAGCACGAAGTTGGACGAGGCCCTCGTTGGGGGGCGGGGTGTGCGTGAGGGGCGGCGGGGCCGCGAAGATATTGAAGTCCCCGATGAGGAATGGGGTGGCCAACTGCGGGGCAGAACTCGCGATGGCCAGGTCTCTGTGGAAGCGGGCGGTGATCAGGTCCATGTCCTCTGCGCCGAGCCCGAAGTTGTGGGCGTCGTAGATAACGAGCGAGGGGGCAGGCGCGGCTGGGGGCAACTGAGACCCAGAGACACGGAGACGCTGGACGCGGCCCGTGACGAGGATCTCGCGCGAGAAGCGACACGCGTCCTCGTTGGCGAGAAGGCCGGGGAGGGGAACGGCGGCGCCCCCAGTGTCTCGCCTGTCCCCGAAGTTCGTGAAGGCCCGCACCTGGAGATGATGACGGCGCAATTCCTGGAGGAACTCGGACTTGGCGCCGTGGACCTCCTGGAGACACATGGTGGCCTGCTGCTTGAGGTAGGAGGAGGGGTAGGCGAACTTCCGATCACGCACCTGCAGGTTGCGATGAAGGAGCGCACGCGCGCTCTATGATCCGACGGCGAGACAGCCACGGTGCTCAGAGGGCGCCCGCCAAGGGGCAAAGAGATTATTAAATAGACCAGTGGATGCGATCGATTCCGCCGAAGATCTCGTCAAAAGCC